CAGCTATAGCGTATACCAGTTCATTGGTTTGAGTTATGGTGGGAGTAGGGATTGTCATGAAGGCTTTATTGTCAGCTTCTAACATATTATCTGATGGTACTTCTCCACTGAGCCTTGGTAATCAATCTTGAGGGTTGACTGTAGCTAGTTTATCTGTGATCCTATGCCTCATTTCAACTGCTGTGCCCTGATGTGGAGGGAGTGGCAGTGATATTCCAGCTTCAGGTGTTAGCTGCACATTCAGTTGTTCTTCTGGGTCTTCTTGAGTCTGGGATGTAATGTGTAGTTGATCTATCTCAAGTTGTGAGAGCAGTTTCCTCTTCACTATACTGAAGTGTTGGATAACTAGTTGTTTCTCAGTTAGTGTGGATGTAGGTCTTCTGTCCTTCCATAGTTCCCTCATACTTTTCATATATCCCCTCTCATTAGGTCTACTGTTGTAGTAGCATTCCATCAATTCCAAGTTCTCTTGTCTCATTCATGTATGATTTGTTCCAGTAGCCCACTTATCATCAGATTGTCCTGGTTCCCCAACATCTGGCGCGGACCTTGTTAATCTAGGCAACGTCCGAGTTGGCATGATTCTCTTAGTTTGTCTCACTCTCATATTTGAGGTAGGCAGGTGAAGTGTTAGGGGGTCTTTGCCCAAGGACCTCTACTGGTAAGGTAGGTACCATCCAGGATCTGAACCCTGGTCTCCTGCGTCAAAGGCCGTGCTCTAACCGCTATACTATCCAGCCACTCTTTATATGTACACACACACAGACACACAGACACACACACACACTTGTGCACATACATACATCTTTTATAATGATATAATGATAATAATTTTATAATAATATAATTGAATATATGTATAGACATAGAAGAACTAACATTGCCTAAGAGAAAGACAGAAAGTATTTTGAACTGGCATAGAATTGTTTTGTTAGAATAAACAGTTTAGAACATGACATTTGTATTAATAAATATACTTTGGATTTCTTGGGCTGCCTCAAATGAACTGTGATACCAAGATCAATGGGATTAGAAGACTATGGAGATTTAAATAGCTACCCTTCTTTAAAATGTTACTTTTTTCCAATCTTCCAGATGTTTTTCAGAAATTATGCAGATACAAATGTTGGGAGAAATTTATTTTTTTAAAAAAAATTATACAGTGATATATGATTCTATTGTTAATATTTTAATTAAAGTAAATATTCTTGCTTCATTACTTTCAAATACAAACTCATCCAAGTTTCATTTTCTTCAATATTGGCTTCTTTAATTAAGCTGGAGGAACACTTTCATCAAATATCCATCTACATGCTACCGAACCACATGCTCAGGTAGGACATAGACCACTAAAAGCTTAATTATAGGTGTTTCAAATTAAAAGTAATAGGTTGAATAAAGGTGAATAGGGTGAAAAAATAAATTCATTGATAGACATTGGGTTACATTCAAGGTATTTTTCCATTAGCAACATTTGAATGTTTCCCTCAAAAGAAAGAGAGAGATTATTTTCACAAACCTCTTCCTACCTCTAGTCTGGAGTTCGATTGTTCTAGAGCAATGTTTCTCAATCTTAGCAACTTGAGATATATGGACTTCAGCTCCCAGAATTCCCCAGCAAGCATGCTGGTTGAGGGATTTTGCGTGTTGAAATCCACACATCTTCAAGTTGCTAGGTTTGAGAAACAGTGCTCTAGAGAATCATCAACTACTAAGGCACAAGGATAAATATTCAAGGGTACTAGGGAGAGCAATCATCAGTGAAAATTGGCTCTTTTTTCATTCTGCCAATGGGGGTTTTCTAATCATGCTATAAAATATTTAATACTGAAGAAATTAATAAATTCAAAATTTTATCTTGAAAATTCATCCACCCCCCGGCATTATCCTTTTATTAACCAAACTGAATTATGGCTAGAATAAAAATAATTGTATGGATCAAGAAATCCATCCATTTATGATACCTTGCTTCCAAGGAGACAATCACAGTGTACACAGTTCCATGGTGCTAAGGTCTTTAATTCTTGAATTTATTTTGAGTATCTAAATGACAAGATATGCCTGGGTAGACACAAAATGGAGGTGATGGAGTGATAGATTTTAGTTAGATATACTATGAAGTGTGATTGCTTTTTCTAGAGGTCAGTTCTGCTTGCAATTGAAAGAGAGAAAAAATGTAATAGGCTTCCATTTATCTCTGTTTCGTAATTTAGATCCTTGTGATTCCCACCCTTGCCAGAATGGAGGCACTTGTATTCAACAGGGATTAGAAGGCTACCACTGTATCTGTCCAGTGGGATTTGGAGGAGATTCCAACTGTGGTATGTTGTTTCATCTTAGGTACTAGAATCTTGTTTTTAACGTGTTGGTAACATCAGTCACTTTTCTGCAAAATCTCTGATTATCATTATTATATTTGTTCTTTAATGAGGAATAGCAAGAGAGGATAAGTATTGGACCGTTTGATTTAAACCACCATCACCACCAAGAATTAGCATATGTGGTATCCTATCTGAAGGTTCCCAAAGATGAAATACCATATATTTCATATATTGTATCATATTATATATCATCTCCAGGAACCTTCAAAGCAGGATACCATATAGATTGACTTAATTTTCCCACCGAAGAAGCAAAAACAATTACTCCTCTTTCAGTACTTGTATAGGATGGAACCATTAACCCAGATCTTCTGTAGTCAATAAGAATGATGTTTTGTCTGTGTGATTTGTTTGATTTATAATTTATTTAAAAGGGGGAATTTTGAGAGGCAGTTATTAGTATGAAGTATGCAAATTACATCTTTCAAATCTCTCTTGTATAGAAAGTTTATACAGAAACTGAAGGGGTTCTTTTAGATACTTTCTAATTAAATATCTACTTGCCTGTTCTAATGGTTTTATTTATATTGAATTTTGGAAGACGCATCTGTCAACTGTGGTTCATGATCTGGTAACCAAAATAAACTACTGAACCAAAGAAATCCCATGCCTTACTTGAATATATTCTGTATATATATCACAATTTATTACATGTTGCCAATAAACTCTTAGTTCATTCTAGCCCCTTCTGAGGTTACATCTTGTGATTAAATATTCCTGTAATTAAAAGCTGGCAAGCCTGAAATCATACCTTAATAATAGCTATAAGGTTATACAATGTTCTATTTTAAAAGATTCTTGTTCTGCATTCTTTTTGGGTTTCTAATAATTTCTGCTTATTTTGTTAAACAGCACCAAAGATAAATCTGGAATGCAGCGTGGACCTTCATTTTTTGGTAGATAGTTCATCTAGCACCACCCTGGAGGGATTCTTGCACTATAAAGCTTTCCTGAAAAGGTTTCTCCATGCAGTATGGAATAGAGAAACTCTAGGAAATGTGGGTATGGCCCATTATAGCAATGATGTCAAGATGATTGCCCAGATTGGGGATTACAGAGATGTGTTCAGTCTGGTGAAGATAATTGATTCCATGGAGTTCAATGGAGGGAACACCTTGACTGGCAAAGCTTTACGATTTATTACACGACATGGCTTTAAGAGTGTACCAATCTTTGCTGATGTTCCTGATGATCTTCCACGTGTGGTCATATTGCTCACAAATTCAAAGGCTGAGGATTCAGTGGTAGAAGCAGCTAAGTTCAGTAGGAGTCAAGGTATTTTCCTCATTGGAATTGGCAGTGAAGTTTTAAGAGGAGAACTGGATGAGATTACAGGGAATCCAAAGCGGACTATTATCTATTCAACCCCTCAAGATCTATTCAATAAAATTACTGAATTACAGAAAAAAATCTGCAGCATAGATAGCCAAGGTAAGAATTCAAGGTACTCTAGAAAGACCTGCCATTTATGTGCATGTTTTCAGGACATGCAATAAGCTACAGAGGGAAGTGAAATCACCTTCTCCCTGTGTTGCTGATGGAAACAGTCTTGTTGATTGAAAATCCACAGTGGATGCCTTCCACTGCCAAAATAACCTTACTCAAATGTAATTCCCTTTACTTTGCCTTAGAAGACTTGTAGGTATCCATATGAATGAGCCACATTCTTAAAAAGCTGATACCTGCTTCTTCCTCCTTAGGCTGCCCATTCCAATCTCTGGATTTGGTGTTTGCACTGGATTCCTCAGCTTCAACTGGAAGGATGAACTTTGCCCAGATGAAAAACTTTGTCAGCAGTCTCTCTTCCCAGTTTGGAATCAATAGGGATGTGACCCAAGTCAGCCTGGTTGTCTTTGGTAAAAGGCCTCAAACAGTATTTGGACTGGATGTGCATGTTACTGGTTCAGCTCTTCAGGAAGCCATCAAGCAGGCTCCCTTTCTGGGTGGCTCTGCCTCAGTTGGAAGTGCCTTGCTTCATATTCATGATGATGTCATGGTTATCCAAAAAGGAGCAAGGCCTGGTGTGAAGAAAGTTGTGGTAGTTCTTACAAGTGGAGCTGGAGTGGAGGACGCTGTAGTCCCTGCTCAGCAGCTACGCAGTAATGATATATCACTACTTATCATTGTGACCGAACATGTACAGATGGGCTTATTGTTGAGGATTGCAGGTTCTTATAATAATCTGGTGAGGATTTCTTCTTATGAAGATCTCAGACAAAATGAAGACTTTATCATTGAAAAACTGTGTGATGGTAAGGCATATTTTGATTTTCTGTTTTACAGCCAACAATTGCAGCAACATTGATTGTTAACGTATCTCATTCTTCAGTCACATTGATGAGATCAGCTTTAAACTTCCAGTAGAGACAGTAAAATACAAAAGTATAATGAGAAAGAAGTATAAAGATAAATCAGATTCTATGTTAACCATTTTTCCTGAAAACATAGTTTATTTTTACTTGTGAAGACCCAGATTTAACTTTCTTCATATCCAACAAGTATCACTTTGAAATAGTTACTGAATCCTTTTAAATATATTGGAAATAAAAATAATGTTAAACGTTCTGTACTTCATCCAAGTAAATTAGGATTGTGCTAAGATATAAAACAATGAATGACTTTGGCAATAGATAAAATGCTTTGCTGTACTTTTAAAGATGAGTATGTTTTGTTTTTGAAGCAATGTCCACAATAGGACTGAACTTATAGATGGTGATACAGGTGCTCCTTGCTTAACAATGGTAATTGGGACCAGAATTTCTGCCACTAAGTGATGCAGTTGTAAAGAGTGACATCATGTGACTGTGCTGCTTAGCAATAGCAGTTCCAGCAATCCCTGTTTACCATTATTAAGTGAATCACTGTGGGTCATTAAGTGAGGATCTCATGTGATTGCGACTTCCAACTTCCTGCCAGCTTCCTCATTGACTTTGCTTGTGGGAAGCGAGCAGGGAAGGTTGCAAATCACTATCATGTGACCGCAGGATGCTGCGATGGTTGGAAATCTGGGCTGATCCCCTAGCACCTGGATTGTGATCATGTGATTGTGGGGGTGCTGCAACGGCTGTAATTTCGAGGACTGGTTGCAACTTTGAACAGTTGCTGAATGAGTGGTCGTTAAACAAGGGCCACCTGTAATAGGTTATCAGATCCTGTGTGGGAAAGAAGGGACTCATGAATAGCAGGTATTAAAAAAGAGTAATTCTAAGTTGAAAAATGTGCCATAAATAAGGGCTAACACTAACGCTTATTTGGCAATTAAACATTGCTTTGGGATCCGACTTTGTGCTGTGGAAATAGTCTTAAAGGTAAAAATTCTTGATTTGTGGTAGAATCTAGACCTTTCTTCTTTAAGGCAATTTTATTTCCCATAGTCCACCAGATGTATCTGCTTCTGTACCTCACAGAAATTGCAGATCCTGGCTGGTAATTCTGCCAGCTGTGGTTCCTGTACCCAATGTCACAGTGGGGAGTTCCTTCAGCACACAAAAAAGTCTGTTCACTGATTTCCATTTACTACGCATGCAACAAAATGGCAAGTATGCAGCTTTGAGAGATGAACGTTTTTTGTTGCCAGATAGTCAACATGGTTTGCTGTTTTCTCTGTTACAGAAGCCAAAACATCAGTAAATATCTGTAAACCTAACCCCTGCATGAATTATGGAATTTGTATTCCTGAAAATGGCAACTATTGGTGTCAGTGCCAAGGCTGGGAAGGACCTCATTGTGAAAACAGTATGGATCACCTGGATCAACAGCATTTTTGTTAGATAGTCCATGCTTCTTAATTATTTGTTTGACCTCATCTCAGCCAGTAACCCAGAAAAAGGAAGGAAACTATCTCTGAAAATAGGAAATAGGTTTTCATTTTGTTTTTCATTTCTAAAAGGGATGTGTGGGCTTGGAATTAATACTATATTTAATGTTGAATAATACAATGGTATTCTTTAAAAGTAATAATACTAATATATTCATGATAATGTTCCCGAAAGCATACGTTGCTTGATTTTCATTGTATTTATTTTGCTCAGAACCTGTTGGCTTTCATTCCAAAAGAGTAGGTGCGGTAACTTGATAACAGTCTGAAAGACCCAGCATTGGCTGTTTTTCATTTAGTTTTGCTGAGCAGCAGGATTTCTGCAAGTGCATTTGGCAAACAGTTTGTTCTGTCTGTGAAGAATGCATCAGCCACCTGCTCTGAAGAGTCTGGGAAACTCAAGGGGAGGCCAACATTCATCTCCTAGGTAGCTGATGCATTGAAAGCTGGTGATCCTGGCCATTTGTTTCATACCAGCTATGCAACATTATTATAGTAAAGAGGATTCTTAATATTTTAAAGACTTGATCACAAAGGAGAACAGTGTGCAAAACATAGCTCATGTCCACCTAAATCCATGTGTCTCTAAACCACTCTTGTTTTCTAAGACTCCTAACAGATCTTGTAACTTATCTCTTGTTAACAAATTAATAAGATTGTAAATGCATAAAAGAATAGGCACTTGGTACTTTGCTATGAGAAATAATGATTAGCTTTCCTTTTCTTTTTCTTTTTTAATACAGGAATGCAGAGGAGTGACACTTCACAATCATGGAAACATCCCGCAATGATCCATGCTCAGCTAAACTGAGATGGTTGGTGGCTGCTATACAGAACTCACCAGTATTAAAAAACAAAGACACAGGGAGTAGATGCACTAAAATAGACAAAAGAGCTTCTACCTTTAGTTACTGAAATCATACTTACAAGGGAACTGAAATATACATTTGCAAGTAATACGCTGTTTCTAAGAACAAAAGTTTTGCACAAAAGTCTCTTACTTGTAATCCAAAATAAGGTGACTAATATCCAGCATATTTTTATGTTGCATATTTATGTTTGATACACTAACACTTTTTCCACAGGAGCAGCATTTCCTCTATATAATGATTGTTATAAATCCAAAGATTTATAGGTAGTATTATTTGGCAAGCTCTGACATGGCTTCCTAAAGCTATACTTATGTTGCTAGGCGTAACCCAGTATTGTGTAAGGGGTAAGAAGCTTTAGCATTCAGTGCTTGCCCAGATTTGATCATTGAAGGCTGTACGAATATACAGAATGAACCTGACTGAGGCACATTTTAGCCCTTCAATGGGCTCCAGATCTACTGGTTTATATAAGATATCTAGAGACAGGCGAACCCACCATCACGCACCAAGACAATGGCTTGTATCCATATTGTTTTCATGGCTGTTCCATTCTTTCTTCCCAACTCCAACTGCAATTCCTTTAGTTTTCTTCCTTTAGTTAGTGAGTTCTATCCCTTTGGCCGAAGCAGGAATAAATTGGAGTCCCATTTCCAACCATTTCTTGGCATTCTTGGACCATGCCAAGTTTACCATTAGCTGTAAAAGGAGGTATCTGTGGCTACCTCTGTCCTGTTTTTATTATAGTTTCATTAACTAAGTCAGTCCTATGCTTCTATACATAGTATCATCTACCATCCAATCAGTCAGCTGGAGATGCAGGGTTGTATTGCCCCAAAGGCCCTCTGGATAGACAAGTGGTTTTCCTTGCATTGTAATGGAAGAGACTGATCAATGCTGACATGCTGAAATTGCAGCTAAGGAAACAAATATTGATTGTGTAGCATTTTTGCAGTGCATACTGAAACATACATGGGGAGAAAACTAGGTGCCAAATGTGTGAATTTACTCATATATGCCCTCAGTTCAGTGAAACAAGCTACTTGTCCAGGTGGGTGTATAACCTTTTCCTAGTTTTGCTTATCTTCCATCCCTAAGATAACAAAGAAATTGCACTCTGTTTTGTCTCATCCTAAAATGGTATTCTTGTGGAGGAAAAAGAGCAGAAGGCATGATTTGTGATAGTTATAATAAGTATAATATATTTCAGTCTCCATATGTAAACCAAAGCTCCTTTGTACAGCTGTGGATTGCAGCTGTTCTGCTATCTTGAAATTTGTTCTATCACATTAACTAGGTATACCGTACCTAGGTTGTGAAATTTAGGCAACCACTAATGGCAGCAAAGAGATAAATAAACTATTCTTCTGATTTTTTTCAGCTCAGGTATGGTGTCCCTAGATTCTATAAATGCTTCTGCAACTGAAGATACTAGAACAACTTTCACGGTGGAGTTCCTGGAGTTCTCTGCGCTTGGCTGTTTTCTTGCAAATGTTTTATTACCCAGCTAGCGCTGAAGATGTTGCCTAGCTGGGTAATGAAACATTGG